CTCAGAACCAGAAACAAGTTTCAAAGATTTCTAAGGCAAGTGCAAACCAAGAAGAGGTTTTAAAAACAAACCCAGACCTATGAAAAATATTTCTACGGTGTTTTTCCATGAACCAATCCAATGAAGCAATATTACCGAGCCGTAAGTAATGCTTTGGGTTTCTATAGCTTTCAGAACATCTATTTGAACAGAAATGATGGCTTAAGGAAAATCTTAGGGACAGTAGAGTAATTAGAATTATTAAAACATCAAGTTAAGGAGCCAGCAGGTGTCATGGTGGTTAAGGCGCTGGACTCCCACATGGCCGACAGCAGTTCCAGTCTCGGATCTGGAGGCTTGCTTTCTCACTTTCCTTCTTTCTGTCTCTCTCTATCTCTGATGACAATGGTAAGTTAAATAACAACAACAATAATAATAATTAAAGTAAATTCTTTAGGAAAAAAGTTTTTAACAAATAAATAAACTTTACAAATCAAATTAAAATTCCTTACAGCCAACAAGCCTATTGAAACCAGCAACTGTACATATTAAGTTGCCCAGGTTCAAGAGGATGCTTTCTGTCCATGCGGCTCCTAATTTTTAGTATTAATCAGTTTCATTTTATCAGGGCAAATATGCTGGTCTCCAGGAACTCTGCGTTTTGAGAGGCACTTTATGTAGCCATCAAAATAAAAAAGTAATGCGAGGATAAGCATTTGATGCCCTTGAGGTTAAACAATGCCACCAGCAGGGGAAACCTCAAGGGAAACACGACACACCTTGTCTCTCCTGACACCTTCAGCCTCTCCCATGTCTCCAAGTCCGCTTCTGTGATACTGGGGAGTGTGACAAAGTTCCAGGGCTTGCGTTGAGGGCCGAGGCCACCCTGGATCCTCCGCTGGGCCAGGTCATCCCTGTGCAGGTCTGGCACTCTCCTGAGTCCTTCCGCGGGCTCACCCTCCTGAGCCCTTGAAACACATGTCACTACTGACCTCGCCACGTCTGTCTGGGCCTGGGTTCTGCCAGTTGGATCCAGGTCCCCACGTCATCGGAAAAATCAGGTTCAAAGGAGGGGAGCAGACAGACAGAGGGTCAAGCGTGGAAATTCAGAGACAGAGGACAGGACAAAACGAGGGAGGTGCCTTTCCCATGCTAAAAAATATGGAGTCCACTGGAACGGTGGTTTCATTTGCCTAGGCTGTCCTGTGGCCATCATGACAGGTTTTCCCACCAGATATCAGTCTCCACTACACTTTAGGAAGAAAAGCCAGGGCTCGCGAAAGACTGCTAAGAATGGTAATGAGAGATGGGGACCAGCAGGTGGCGTGGTGGTTAAGGCGCTGGACACTCCCACATGGCCGACCAGAGTTCGAGTCCTGAATCTGGTGGCTTGCTTTCTCACTTCCTCTCTCTCTCACCCTCTGTCTCTCTCTGATCAACCTAAAGAATAAATGAATGAATAAATAAAATAAATAATTATTAATTAAAAAAAAAAGAAAAAAAAGAATGGTAATGAGATTTCATTTGGACACTAATGATGCCCGAGGCCCACGCCATCCAAGTTTCTCTAATGAATTCGAGTTTGCTGATTGAATCCCTCAGCCCTCTGGGGATGTCTTTTACTGCCCCAGTAAAATGTTAATAACGAGCGCTGTGTGATCCAAGTTCTAAGATTCATGTGGAACAGGCTGGGATGCCGTTCACACACTAAACCTCTCAGCCATTAACCCGTAACAGCCAGAAGGTACGATGAAGTCGATTCTGAACAGGAAGTGACCACTGGCTGCTAATGTTGATCAAGTTGTGATTGAAACCAAAACTGTGGCATCTGTATCAATATGTATCACATTCAAAGTCGGTTTCTAACTAATTTCTAACTATTTATTATGAATAATAATAAAAAATATAAATAATAAAAAAAGTGACAACTGAAAAAAAGATTAAAAAAAAATCTCAAAATTATAGCTATATATTACCTATTTACTTATTTACTCACTTTCAAAATATATCATTCAAGCCAGGAAACCATAGAGGTAGTCTAATAAAAAAGTGACAACTGAAAAAAAGATTTTAAAAATCTCAAAATTATAGCTATATATTACCTATTTACTTATTTACTCACTTTCAAAATATATCATTCAAGCCAGGAAACCATAGAGGTAGTCTCTGGTTACCTGCTCAACTTGCTGCATTTGTAAAGGCTGTGTGGAAATAGGAAGGTGACAGAATTTTCTATTTGTTTTTAGTTTGGATCAAAGGAGGGGCTAGCAAAGAGGCACTTCTTCCCTGTTTATTAGTTCTTTGATGTTCTCTATGGAGGTCATGAGCTGCCCCAGACCAGACCCAGAGCTGTGCCCTCAGACGCAGGGTCAGGTGACAACACACAAACGCAGCTGGAAATATCAGGAATTAAACTTGCATGGAGGAGAAAGGGGGCAGGGAGATACGAAAGCTGCTCCGTTTCCTAACTCAAATTGCTGATCGCCCTCGATATGCCTGATGCAGCTGGTTACCCAAAAGCCTCTGCTTCACTTGCAACAACGGATCCCTGCACAAGGCCCGCCAAGAATGGTTTGTTACAGGCGTAGCCAGTAAGAACCGCGAAGACCAGGAGCTTTCTGAAGCTAAAGCGTGTCCTGAAAAAAAACGATGCCAGGTCTTTTCCACTATAATCCCTGTTCAACAGCCAGGAATCCATTATAGTTTTTCTTTAAACCTGGCACGTCCTTAAAAACAAAAAATGGGAGGGGCAGCAGGTGGCGTGGTAGTTAAGGTGCGAGACTCTCACATGGCTGACCATAGTTCAAGTCCCAGACCTGGCAGCTTGAAAGTCATGCTTTCAAGGGTGTGTATGTGTGCATGCCTAGAATCCCATCGGGAGAATGGAGGAGAAGGGACTGTGTGGTGTGGCCATCCTCCCAGGGGATGATTTCTTGCATTCTGTCTCTGTCTATCTCTCTCTGGCAAGCGCACACACCCTACCACAAAAACCTAAAACAACAGTAACAATAACAATAGCAAGACCCCCAAACCCCCACCTAACTACTCCACGGAGCACACTAACTCTGTCAAAGAACCATTTCAACTCTGCAAACACAACTGAGATAATGAGAGTCCCAGTTCAAACGATTTTGAAACTTCTAATGTTTTGGGCAAACATACGTCATTTTGATAAGGAAGATACTAACTCTAATTTCTGATTTGTCTCTCTCTCTATATAGTACACTCTGCAGGAAGAAATATAGCAAGTGGACACTTTAAACTAAATCATACTCCTCTTACGATAAAAAAAAACAAAAAATTATTGTCCAAACCCCATCTTACTACAATTTTCCCTTCCCCAATTCACTCCAACATGTATTACGAGGCTAGGGGAAAAGGTGGGAGGAAGAAACTCATTTGAACACAATCTCCGTGGTAGAACGCGGAGAAGTGTATTATATGTTTGCGAAGTTCTTTTGATGGAAATATCCCTCTTCATTTGTCCAGATAATCTTGCGGGTGTGGGGCAAACAAGAGCAAGCCTCATTTTTTTTCCCTTCTGACATCTAAAAGGAACTAATAAGAGAGAAAAGCCTAGAAAAGCCTAGAACAAAGGAATAAGCATGCTTCCTGCCCCCTTTGACTGGACAGGGACAGCCGGGAGAGGTGACCACCCTGCCAGGTAACAGCACACGCCATTTCTGCCTGATAATACCAACCGAGGCCATGAGCACGCCTGTGTGGGGATGGGCCTGGGTTCCATGTATCTACACACTGAGTTCCGTGTTTACTTGGCAAATTCAGTCCTATTTTGGACATGACCACTCTGTGCTAGCTGTCTTTGGGCATTCAGGGGAGACTGGCTCTCTGACCTTCCACTTCAAGAGAAGTGCACCCTGTTTACCAAGTACGTATAACTGGGCCAGGAAAGGAGAGGCATGGGGACTTGGACACGACACCTTTGCTTTGTTTTGTTCTCTCGCTTTCACAGACACCCACACAGTGCACACCTTTTACTTTCTAGACTTTTCTTGGCCGAGAGTCCCTTCGAGAGTTGTCTGCTGCCATCTGCGGTCTCTGCCTCTCTTTTCCGATAAGGTCCATAGAGGAGTTGATTCAATGGCACCACTGGCTTGGGCTGGTTCATCCTCGCTCTCCTTGCGGCAAAATCATCTTTCTCAAGGTCAGGCAGTCGACCCACACCTTCATCTTCCGACTCGGAATCTTTGCCGTGTTGATGTGCCAGGAAAGGGTTTTCTTTGCGCAGAATGATATCTTGAACAGCTTCTTGCTCTTCACTTAGTTGCTTTTGACTGATAGAGCAAAATCAAATGGAACTCCACATGCAGACAGACCAAAAAAAAATCGAAAAGCTCCTCTCCAGACAGACAACTGTGTTGTTAGTGAAAAGTCTTATTGAGACCGTTAGTTCCGATGACATCTGTTTATTATTTTAACCCAGAGTTGGAGCAGAGTTAGGGTGGGCTTTAAAATCTTGAATTTAGCCAGACACGAGCAATACAAAAAGTACATTTAATTTGCACGACTTGATTAGCATCATAAAGGCACGATCCTAAATGGCTCTGAAAGTGACAGTCCCAATACTTTTCATGAACTTGGAAAAAAATTGGAAGTTATCTGTTACTGTTGTTTTTTCTTTAGCACATTCTCAATGATGTACCCAGTAGGTATTCGACTCATTTTAGACATAGGGCAAGAGATCAAGCCATCGAGAAACTTGTCTGGAGGAGAAACGAATGCCATGGCACATGTAGATTGTGTTACCAGATTGCAAATTGTGAGGAAGGTCTTTCTGCAGAACTGAGCTAACCTGAAACATCTGGAATAGTTTGAGGTCCCTTTTAAGATGGACCCAAGGCATAAATGCTTATCTTGCTCTGCACACTCTCATCATTCCTCCTTCTTCTCTCCCCATGGCTCCTTACCTTCCAGAACTTCTTTGTTATCTGCTAGATGTCCAGGACACTGTGGTAAGATATTTTGCCAAAATGGCTTTAAAATGATGAGTGTGGACTATTTCCATTTTCAAAGGGGTCTTGAAGGCCCCTTTGAAACTTAGGCACATTATATTCCTAGAGGTATGTAATTTGACGGCAAAGTGTAAGCCTTAGGACTTTTTCCACTTTGTTTTATTTTTGTTTTTGTTCTGGGACGGGGGAGCAGACAGTGAATTGTGCCTAGATAGCATTCAAACCAAACCCCACTCTTCCAACTGCTCTTAAGACCAGGCTTGCTTCTAAGTAACACTACAATGTCGAAAAATCATTTTTTCATCATTTACTACCTATTCGTTTCATAAGATGATGAATACATAAAATGCCTTGACTTCTAAAGAAAGTTCACCTACTGTATATCTTCTTTTTGAGAGAGGATTAAGAGTAAATTCTGCATCCGCAAAGGACAAGCTCATCTCAGAGATGAAGACAGGAGGAATGAGCCTGGCTGAGGACACAATGAGCAATGAAGCGCTGCATGCTCTGGTTGACCAGATGGCCCACTGCTGTTGCCCTGCCCTACATCCTCCAGAGGAGGCCTTCATTCTCAGGCTACGGCAGGCCTTTGCTCCATCTGACAATTGGAAACATCAAAGCATCATTAGTCATGCTCGGAAAACTCCTACTTACTGCTAGCCATTGTTCTCTATAGCATTCTAAAACACAGAATTTGGGGGGGGGACGGTGAGGAGTGATGCTATGCTAAATAAAGATAAATTTATTTCTTAAAATATGAAATCCTACGGGGCCAGCAATGGCATGGTGGTTAAGGTGTTGGAGTCCCACATGGTCAACTCCATGTTTTGAGTTTCAGACCCAGATGCTTGAAAATGATGCCAAGCCCATGTGTGAGTCTGTGTATATATATGTGCCCAATATCCCAAGAATGGAACAGAAGGGGTTGCAACATGGCCATCCCCCTGGGGGGCTGATTTCTTACTTTCCCTCTCTGTCTCTATGTCTCACTCCAAAAAGAAAAAAAATTTAAAAACCATATGAAACCCTGCTTTTTTTTTTTTTTTTTTTTTGAAAAAGTTTTTTCTTTGTGGGAGTACTTGCCAGAGAGAAGGAGAGACAGAAAGTGAGAAATCACCCCCCAAGGGGGATAGCTACGTCACAATCCCTTCTCCTCCATTTTCTTCTTGGGATTTGGGCATGCACGCACATGTACCCAGCATGAGTTTTTAAGCTGCCGGGCCTGGGACTTGAACCACAGACGCCTACATGGGAGTCCAGCAATGTAACCATTATGCTATCTACTGGTCCCCAAACCCTACCCTTTGAGTTGTACATTCAACTCTCCATTTTCTCCCCTCCCTATCTTCATTAGCATCATGTCTATCAAGGACCAACTGGTGTTGATTTACTGCGGTCAGAAAGAGCAGTCAGTAGAAAATGATGGGCTATTGCCTTGACTTTTTCAAAGACATTATGTAAAAAGTACATCGAGGCCCAGCCGAGTTAGCAAAGTCCGTAGCATAGTATTGACAGAAGCCACGTGGCCGACTGGGGTTCAGATCCCTGGTTGGTTGCTCGCCAATATGCCAGGCATGTCTCTGTATGCCCAAGATCCTGATGAGCTAAAGGATGGGGACCACAGAGCGGCCAGATCACGTCAAAGGTGCTCCCCTCACCTCAGATGCACATACACAATGCTCTGTGATGAATAACACAGATAATAAACTTGACAAAACACTGACGATCATAATGAAGGGGGCTAGCAGTCGAGGCATGTTGCATGCCAACCTTCCTTCTGAATGTTCACTCCTTCCACCCCCACACTAACTCTTTAAGAAGTGTTATCCCCATTGTGTAGAGCAAGATTTTGCTAAGAAATGTGTCCACAGTCAGAGCTAGCCCTTGGTAAAATGCAAATCCAGGAGGGGCGGGCAAGTGTGAAGGCACTGGATTCTCTCACGGGCAGCTGTGGTTTGAACTGTGGACCCAGTGGCTTGAAAATCACGCTGGCTGCATGTATACATGCACCCAAGATCCTGAAAGGACAATGGAGGAGAAGAGATTTGGTGTGGCCGTTCCCCCTGGGGGTGATTTCTCATTTTCCCTCTCTCTGACTCTACCCGGCAAGCGCACGTGACCAATGGCAAAAACGAGGGAAGAAAATTTCATATCCAGGCAATCTGACTGCAGAGGCCCGATTCTCTGACAGTGAATAGATGGCTACACTCGTTAAATAAAGGACCATGCCAGACGCAGTGCCGGGAGGAGGGCAGCAGACAAACAATAAGACACTTTCAGTGCCAGCAGGTGGCGTGGTGGTTAAGGGCACTGGACTACTACAATGGCCAACTGTGGTTCGAGTCCTGGATCTGGTGGCTTGCTTTCTCAATTTTCCTCTCTCTCTCTCACTCTGCTCCTCTCTGGTTAAATTAAAATAAATAAATAAAATAAAAATAAAAATAAAATAAAATAAAGAGCCTATGGGACCAGCAGGTGGTGTGGTGGTTAAGGGTGCTGGACTCACACATGGCTGACTGTGGTTGGTGTCCTGGACCTGGCAGCTTGCTTTCTCACTTTCCCTTTCTCTCTCTCTCCCTCTCTTCCCCCCCCCCCCACTCTGGTCAAATTAAGATAAACAAATAAGTGAAGTTGTGATGTGCATGGTTGGGTACAATCGACCAGGATTACTGAGGGCAGTATGCTAAGTAACCAACCTTTACTCTATCTCCACAACGCGTCACAGTTCACGAGGCCTTTTCAAATCTCACACCCTGACATGGGGCACGTAACCCCATAAAACTTTGTATTCTGGAATAGAAGCAAACCTTCTGCCGGAATCTCTTTCCACTTTTTGACAGGAGTCTTGGACCTCGAATTCTCTCAACCCAGGCATAATTCTTTGGCATAAAATACATGCATGTATGCAAATGGCCCTGGTATGGGATGCCAATGTGAGCAGGGAAGATCTGGGGTCTTATGAATGCTGCAAGGCTGGCCAGAATTCAGACTCCCCTGGGTGTTTCTTTTAGGCTACAAGCCCAGTGTGGCAGGACTCATTTTCAAGCAATCTCAACTTAGATATGAGGACTTGAAAAAAGGGATGAAGAAAGCTGGCCGTGTCACTGGCCACTTAAAGCCACTCCCGCCCACTTGAAAAACTGCCCCAAGGCCCGATTTTCTCCTAACTGCTTGTGTCCTGTAAATTCAGAACTTTAAGGCAGACTGATAGAGAGGGAAAAGTAATACATATTCTTTTTTTTTTTTTTTTTTGGAAAGGTTTCTGCCATAGGGTGCGTGCGCTCGCCAGACAGACAGAGAGAGACAGAGAGACAGAAAGTGAGAAATCACCCCCCAGGGGGGATGGCCACACGGCAATCCCCTCTCCTCCATTCTCCTCTTGAGATCTTGGGCACACACACACATGTGCCTGGTGTGAACTTAAGCCACTGGGTCCGGGACTCAAACCGTGGTCGATTACATGGGAGTCCAGCGAAATAGTCATTACACCAACTGCTTCATGGCATTTGCTATGGTTTTTCAGAGCACACATGCAGTGCCTGGTCATCAGCCTATTGGGGACTTCGGGTGCTTCACTTAATTTCTCAGCAACTGTCCCCACAGCTGGTCTACTGCCCATGTGGGAGAGGAGAGGAGCAGGGTCTCTTGTTCGGGTCACCTGGAACTAGGTGAAGTGAATTTAAGGAACGTGAAGGGGCAGGTCTTGGCTGTCTGGCTTCATAGTCACGGGGAGCTTTGGCACTTAGATTTCTCCCAGGTCACTCATCAATGAATGAGCTGCTTTGGGAACCAGCAGTTAGCGTAATGGCTATGTTGCTGGACTCCCATGTAGTCGACCGCGGTTCGCGTCCCGGACCCGGTGGCTTAGAACTCACGCCTGGCGCGTGTGCGTGCGTGCCCAAGATCCCGAGAGGAGAATGGAGGAGAAGGGATTGCGGCGTGGCCATCTCCCCTGGGGGGTGATTTCTCGCTTTCTGTCTCTATGTCTCTCTCTGTCTGTCTGGCGAGCGCACACGCCCTACAGTGAAAACCTCTAAAAAATTAAAAAGAATGAGCTGCTTTGAGAAGGCCTTCCTCGGTGATCCCAGCCCAGCCTGAGACAGGAAAGGCCGGACCTGGTCCGGCCTCGCGAGACTGTGCAGCCTCGTCCAACATGAGTAAGGCCGGGATCGTGGCCTGGGACAGGTGAGAGGGAAGAGAAAGCTCTAGTTTCCCTGTGTCTATGGCTGACATATTTCAAAGTGAACGAGATAATGATTTTTAACTAGAGAAAAGCTGGCATTTTCTTTCACCCCCTTTCACTTGGCAATGCAGAAGGTGCC